CCGCCACGTCAAGGCGGGTAGTCGGTCGGAGGGGGACTCACTTTGGCGCGCCTTGCCTGGAGGAGAGGGGGTTGCTACCCGGGAGGGGGCTGCTGAGGCGGCCAGCGCTGTCAGGGTCGCGGAAGTGTGCGCAAGCGTTCCCGTGGCCCTGCCGATATGCGCCTAAGTGGAATATCGTGGGAGGTTTAGTCGGTGCGAGTCCGACATAACCCGCTCTCGCCCCGCGAGGGCCGGTATGCGTAGGCATTTCCCACACGTTAACCAAAAAAAAAGGTTCAAAGTGAGTCACAGATTCGACAGAGAGCACCCATTGGGGTGTCCAATGTCCATGAGGTCTTGTAGCCCCATCGCCTAGAGTGAATATAAAAATGCGGAGCCAGTAGCTCACGTCGGAAATCCTGAATGCCGGGTGAAGCGACACTCAAGAGTCTCAGAGGCATAATTTAAGACTTACTACCTACTGTTTTGTCCACTTTGTGTCGACCCAACGTGTTCGAACAATCTCATTGTCTGATAAATAAAATTATCAATGAGTTATAACTTGTGGCAGAATAACTTTTAATGTTGCACAGTACGCTATAATGTACCTATATTTAGAATTAAATCTTATTGGGATTGCGTTAAGGAACATATTTGAATACCTAATAATTTGCGGTAGAATTTTTTATAATACAGTTAGTATTAGCGACTACGTAATTATATTTACTAAATGGCGACTGGTGGCAGAATAGACACTTCCTTAATAATATTTTAAAGTGCAAAAAATCAGAGACACAATCATGGAACCGATATATTTATGTTGTTTTAAATTTATATCAGGCGACTCACGATAAATTTATCTCTTTTACAATAGTTTAGCACATATATTTATTATATTAAATTGCAATCACAGCATATTGAATCAGTAATTATTCTATTTATATTAAGTTAGACCCAACCATCATGTAAACCAAACTAGAACAAAACAACGCCATCTAGTTTGTAATGACTGAAAAACTTGAAGCCTTCATAAGGCAACTTGTTGAGGTATTGACAAACAGCCTGTTGCTATTATGTAATGAAGTTATGAAACTCATCAAATTTAATATTCTAGATTTTTACAGTTGTAGTTTAATAATCCTACCACTATCATAACCTTGATCACAGAAATATATAAATATTTGTAAGCATAAAATAAAAATAAAACTGTTTTAAATTTTGTCACATGTATATTTTAAAGTGGACCACATTATAAGTAAGAGAAACATTTTGGTGCTATAAGTGGCTTGGGGTAATAGATTACATTATGATAGAGATATAAAGGATATACAGAGATTTATAAATAAAAGTTATTAAAAAGTTTATTTATCATTTTCATCCTCACTTTTGAATTTCTTCGCTTGTGTCCCTTCAGAATCATTATGAGACTCTTCCTTACATATCTCATGTAGATTATATTTTTTATATGAAAAATAATTGTGTACCACACTGAGTAGGCAAATGCCTTTAATAATTTCCACTATAATACAAAGACTTGGATTTTTCAAGTCAGCCTTGTTGTTGTTGTTTTTAAGCACAATGAGGTCTGCTAGCTCCTTAATAATCAACTCACGGGACACACTACTGTTGAAACGTTTGTTGAATATTATAGCAAATGTTGAGGCTTCCTTTAAGAAAAATTTATCAAAAAGCTTTCCAGCGCATTCCATAATGTCTGGTAGATTTGCTTTACATGTTGCCATTATTGGCAGCAAGCGTAATACGTGTCGCGTTTTCTGCACTTTTGTTGCAACCAAATCTTGTATAACAGCTGTGGTCAACTCTTCCGGACTAGGTAAATTCGTTTTAATAAATATACAATTAGAAGCCCCTGTTTCAACTACTTGGAATCGCTTATGCTTCAGAGATTTCTGTGAATTCTTTTTCATGCACTCCACTTCGCGTTTAAGCATGTCACCTATGTCAGTCTCTTCTTCAGATTCGCTTACAGAGTTATCCTCGGGATTTGCTGATGGTGGTACCTGATTGATCCCCAAATCCGGGTACAATTTGCCAGCATACTCATTCAGCAGATTGTACATTTCCTTTACGCAGTCTTTCTCTCTAAAGTTACATGTACAGAAAAAGCCTCTGAAGCCGGGTTCTAAGAAATATTTGTTTCTACGCTTGCGAAAGTAGAACTTTTTCTTTTTCCTCGTATCGCCCATTTTGTATGAATCAGATCACAAAGTCTCTTTTTTAATATTGAACTGTGATATAACAGAAGTTATTACGTGAATTGAATTATGAAATCACTTAATAACATGATCATTAAATATACGTACACCCATGCTGTAACATTGTCAAATGTGACATTTGAATTTGATTAAGCAATGTGGCACAGATAATTTATAACCAGAAAAAAAAAAGATGGAGCACTTTAAGTTTTTTTTTGTGCAAGTTTAGTTTGCTGTCAGCTTAGTGGCTTTGAAACCTTCGGCAGTTCGCGAGTTATCGACTATATTGACTGGCGGATTCAAGAGAAATGATATAGCTGGTGCAGTGTTATGACTACGTGGTGAACCAGCCATCGTGATCTCGGCTTGGACGATCATCGATGGAAGTCAAGAAGTAACTTAGCATTCTACGTAGGCCATAGGGCAACGGATGGGTGACCATGAAATTGGTTTTGAATGACTTGAAACAGTTTCAAGTGATTAGGGCAAGTAATTCAAAAGTTAAATTAAAATTTTCTTAAATGAAGATTATATTTATGACTTATTGTTAACAAACATCAGAGCCTTTTAGATCTTATCCTTTACTAGTTTACTGGCTGCTTTGATAGTTTTGGTGGAAGAGAGTCGGATAAACGAACAGCAGGTTCCGGAAGAAAAACACCGGTATGGTGGTGTAATCTTGAGAAACAGTCACTGGTGCGCTTCGCTGATCTTCGCGACCACAGTCAACAAATAATGGACAATTTGACTTATAAGGAGGGTTGTGAGGGGGGTACGAATAATGTAAGCACGCTTGAGATGGTGTTTGAAATATATTCACAGGATATTGATACGTGTGTCACGTCATGAAATAACACATTCGCCATTTAATCACGAGACATACGTGAAACGATCGGCTACTAAAATTAAATTACGAAAACACATTTGCTATATTACCTGTTTATGAGAATATAAATTTGCCTGTAGTGTAACTGGTTATTTGTTAACCATGTTTGCTGTTTTTTTTTTTAATATTGAAGGGGATGGCAACTGAGCAAGCGGTCCTCCTAATGCCAGAAGCCACTGATGAAAAAAGTTCACACAAACCATTCATCTGACGTAAGGTAAAAATAAAATACCTTTAATTGACGCCGACTTTTTTTTCATTAGCTATCGCCGCTTAATGTACCTACAGGGAGTGTTACATAAACTTGCTTAATATATCTTAATATATCTAAGAATATTTTACTTGTTATACCAGTTAATTGCACGAGCTATGGTAGATCGTTATTCGATTAAAAAAACCGTCCATAAAAGGCAAAAAACATCATGTCTGTTGTATGGGTGCCCCACTTAATTTTTTTATTGTTTTTTAGTATTTGTTGTTTTCCCGTGGGTCCCGTTTTACCCTTTAAAGTACCTACACAAAGGGTAAAACGGGAGCCTAAAAAAAATACCCCTTTATTTTACCCTATCTAAGAAAATATCAATGTGTCCTCACTGTTTCAGATGGTACAAAAAATCTTATGTCTATAGGCAAAGATTTAAATGCAAAAACGAAAAATCCTACTGAAATTACACAACGAAAATTTGCGACTACTTGCAAATTTTAAGTGTATAAAATGTATTATTGTAGTTGTGATACTTAATACAATAAATAATATAGACAAAAGAAATACATGACGTTAAATATACAATGGTAGAGTTTAAGGGCAGTTTACAAATGGGGGAATGCAATCTTGTGAGTTTCAATGCCCCGAAAACTCATGCGTTTCTTTTCACCGTAAAAAGGCCCACACGCCCATTCTCTTCTAGAATCTGACCTTGGATTGTGCCGACCATCATCATTCGCGCTTCATTGATTCTAAGGCCAAAGCAGCTGCAAAAGTTAAGTATCCTTACCGTAAGTGCGGTGGCACCAGTTGCATTGATTCAAATCAATTCAAATCAAAAATATATTTATTCAAATAGACGTTGGCGCGTTCTTATGAATCATCATATATATATATATATATATATATATATATATATATATATATATATATATATATATATAGGTTCGTAACATACGCCCGGTTCGGAAAGCAGTTTCTATTGAGAAGAGACCGACAAAAAACTCAACAGTTGCTCTTTTTCATAAGTATCAGCTTAAAGTATAGCATACAGGTATAATAGTCTTATTCTAGGCTACGTGAGTATTAACTCCACACATTGGCGTCGTTGAGATATTCCGCAATTGTATAATATGCGTTTAACATCTATGGCTACATCGCTACATACAATCAGGTGGGATAGAAGTCAAGCACTATGCAGTCGCTTATAAAAAAAACATTTTAAGTAGATGGATGTAAAGATTTCTTCGTCGTGAGGTCATCAGCCGCTTAGTTTAGGTACTTGAAGCGTTTGAGCGGGCTACCCCGAAAGACGTAGGTGCGAATAGCGCATCACCGAAAAAAAAATTTTCGACTATATTTTTAAAAATAAATGTAAGTTTAAAATAATTTATCGGACACTTGTTTTAGCTTTTTCTTTATGAAAGAGCGATCTCATACCGCAATGAAAAATACATTATGGTACAATAGTTTTATTTACAAAATAAAACTTAACAAATCATTGTTCTTAGAGCTACTTTTTATTGCCAATTAATAAAAACTAAATGAAACGAGGCTTAACCATACACAAAACTTTCGCTAGCGCAATAAATAAATACTATTTGAATACTTTTTGTCCATGAAATATGCAAATTATAATGCACATCATGCAACCATGGGGACTAATTGGTGACAGCTTATTGGCCATGAACTACTTCGAATTAATGCTTCACTACGAAAAAACACAATATTTGGTCTTCATAACTGTCTGCAAATTAGCAACAACAGGCTTCTTTAACTTCGGACACACGGTGATGCTGGAATAAAACGAAAAAACATTAACAATCGAAGTTCATAATCAAATAGTTGAAACTAAGACAATTAATAGTGAAATATACACAGTACATTAAATCTGACCGCGACGATATACAGTTAGTAATTTTATAATCACTATTATAAAACTGCACAAAACACAAGACCCGCATCTGAATGAAGTCAGCTCCATGCAAAAAAGGTAACTTAACAAAATCTATCTACATTTTTTGCGACTGTGTACACCTAAGTACTGTGGGACAGAGACACATATTATCGATTTAGATTGTGGCGCAAACCATAGAACTCATACCTTCCCTTCACACGCTGCATGTAGCCTGTGCCTGATAACATTAAACTTTTCAGTGTGCTTTAATGATAACAAATTCTGCTCATAATATCTACATGTAAATATTAAATTTGTTATTGCATTATTACTTGTTATTTTTTAGGACACTACCGTACACATTTCAAAAACACAATTGTGGAACAATAATATTTGGAAATAAATAAATGTGGTACTCACTCGGTGTTATACTCAATAGATGATATTTTTATGTATTCTATGTAGATACTAGGCGACTTCAGTAGCCTCCATGTAATGGGATTAAATAAGTTAGTCTCGTATTTCCACTCTACTATAACAGACATAGGCGGATATCCAGTGTCCTTAAAGGGGACCATTTTCGTCTCTATATCACCAGGCTTGTAATATTTCCTGAAACAAAAACATTTTTATCTATTAATACACATATACAATAAATAATAAAATTATACTGAATTACATCTCTTTTACACTTCAAAATAATAGTAACAGACCAAAGGTATATTATATATTAATGTAGTAGAAAACAGCATTGCTGAAAGAAGAGTATTTCCCACAACGACATCGTTGAATAATTTATGTTCAGATTAATAGATAACTGGGGTTAGTTAATACATAATTCGCCGAAAATCTCGCGATTTCACGCTTTGAGGTTATCGGCCGCTTAGATCAGTTCTCTAGAGCGTTTGGGCGCATTACCCAAAAGACGCAGGATAGAATTTTCTAGCCGCGTCAATTTTTTTCAATATTTTATTTCGATACAAGTAAGAGTCAGCAGTTAAAATTATAACATATGATGTTGTCACTGTTTCCAAAAAATCTTGTTTTTTGAGTAAGAAGTGATAGTCCATAGCTTATTTTAAATAACGTATCATTATATTTAAATAAAGAGAAATCCTAAATTATCCCGTCATTTTAGGTTTGTAATCTCACCTATGATGACTTGGCTAGATTAATAATTCTAAATACACATGGGAGAGCCTCAGCCAGAGGATAGTTTATTTATAAAATAATGTAAAGGATATAGCCCGTATACTTAATATCCCCACGGCATTTCAAATAAGATTAGTATTATCACTTCTTGCTAAAAAAACAAGGTTTTTGAGGATTATACATACATGTATATACATAGGGTAATCCTAGGGCATAGTCCACCACGCATTTTTTTTTTGTTATTATTTCGAAAATATGCAGGTTTCCTCACGATGTTTTCCTTCACCGTTGAGTACGTGATAAGTCAGCACTTAAATTAATTGTTATTGCCGTCAATGATAATCGAACTCGGGTTGCTAGAGTTAATTAAATTGAATGCGAGCGCCCAGTCAAAAAGTATCACGGCTCTAATCCGTCTAACGTCCAATGTTATACTTACTGTTCGTCATCTATGAATTTGTGGTCGCTCTTGCTGTTATTTTTGTCCACTAGAATTATGGACACCCTGCCAACGTCGGGACCGTGCAGTATGCTCTCAGAGGAGTTAGACACCTTCAAAGTTATTTTGTAGTGCACCTCTGTAATAATAAAACAAAGGCACATTTTTATTTCGCTTAGGCAAGTTTGTGTTTGTCGTCTACACTAAACACGATAAAGAGGTATCTAAATACCAGAAGACGCTTTTAAAAAACTGATCTGTGCAACTTAACAACTTCAACCTAAATTTTTGGTTTTTATCGCAATAGATAACTAATCAGATTTCAGTTGTCGTTTCAATGCAATTAAATTCGTTTTTTGGTCAAGAAGGGCATTTTTATGAAGTTTTATCACGTCATATTTACTAGGAAAATACTTACTGCAGAATGGCTTGGACCCCCCTGTCATGGAGTACAGCGAGACGTGTGAGTTTGAATCGATCAGACCGCTCGCATGATACCTCTTGTATATCTCGTACGAATGATATCCCATGGGAATACAATAATGCTTGCTGTCACACGCCGTACAGTTGCCGGCCAGAAACGCCTGAAACGAGTATGATTAAATTAATGCAAATATCACTACATAGTATAAAACAAAGTAGCCCCGCTGTCTGTCTGTCCCTATGTATGCTTAGATCTTTAAAACTACTATGTTTTTTTTTTTACTAAATAGAATGATTCAAGAGGAAAGTTTATATGTATAATACATTGCACCCACGCGAAGCCAATTTTTAAATTAATGTAAATAAATTCTATACAATTAAATTAATGTAAACGTCGTTAGTGTTAAACATCACTTATCGAGAGACAAATCCGTTGCACGAAAGAATTGGACAAATTAAAAGTAGATGCAATCAAATACGCGGTACGTGTAGTTTCCAACTCGATGGCTTAAACTAGAATTATTAGTAAACAAATATAAAGTCAATTATCAATTTACTAGCAGTTGGTTTTCTTTCAAATTCAGTCCCGTTATATCTCAGACTTATTTATTACTCTAATCCACAAATAAACATTTTTAATAATAAATTATATTAAGTAAAACAATCTTTACATAATAATGTATCCGTAATATTTATTCGTGTTTAATTTAAATTAATTCACCGAAGTTTTGATTAAGTCACATCATTCATGGTCACGGAATTCACTGAGGCATTAGACTTCAAGCATGACTATTAACCCGAGCTAACTTAATTTCTTATATCTTCGCGAATACAACACATTTAGACCTCCCACTAGGTGGATCGACATCGTAAGATGTGGCGTCACACAAATAACTATTATAACAATAAATGAATAGTTATTGTCACATAAAATCAACGTCAAAGTTCACGCGTCATTCTTCAGCTGGCGGTGTTCTGATTCGAGGAAATTTCAAAATTTACCCGGTCGAATTTAACTATTGCGAAAGGACCACATCGAATGTTTTCCCAGTTTTGCGTACTCGCTATTTGGGAAACTCGTACATCAACTTTACGCGGTAGATTCTTACTATTACGATAAAATCGATTTTGCTGACTTCCCAATTTTGGGTGCTCGCTATTCGGGTAACACGTGCCTGACGACTCCGTGGCGCAGTTGCCAAGGTATTAGCTACGGTGCAGGTGGTCGTGGGTCGATTCTCACACGTGACAACTATTTGTGTGACCCACGGGCAATTGTTTCTGGGTGTTGTTTGTCCACGTGGGACAACGTAATCCTACAGTAAGGTAGTTAGGAATAGATCTTTCTAGGTTGCAGTGGTAGTATGGACATGCTAACCAACTCTGTGTACTGTTCAGGACAGAACAAGGAAGAAGAAATAACGCTTCTGAAGGTTAGGTATATTAATATAATTTCAACTAAAAACAGTTAGGTTTTTATTCGAATGCGTGCCGTTACGGTTGGAAGTAACTGCGGATGTACAATTTTGAATGCAAGTCGTTAATTACTCATAAGCAAATATATTCAAATCTAACGGTCGACTACCAATGCGAGTGTTACAAGTATAAATAACAGTCTATGGTTTATACATTATTTTTTACATATTAATACATTTAAATCCATACTAATATTATAAATGCGAAAGTAACTCTGTCTGTCTGTTTCGCTCTCACTCCAAAACTACTGAACCGATTTAAATGAAATTCGGTACACAGACAGTCTATAGAGCCTGAGAAAAGACATAGGCAATTTTTTAATTGTAAAAAATCATAGCTAAGGGCTTCAACGCGAGCGAAGCCGCGGGCGAATAGCTAGTTTATTCATAATTTGAACCGCCCGTGGCGCGGACAGTTCGTACCTCGTAGGATTTGCACTGCACCGCCATGAAGGGGCACGTGGGCGCGACGCTCTCCGTGAAGAGGACGTAGCTCCTCTCGTGGTTGCAGCTGACGAACCTCAGCACTTGGGTGTACATGTCCCCGGTCCCCGCGTGGCCCCGGGCGCCGTCGCTCTTGCAGCCCGGCTGCGTGGAGCCGCCGTTCGGGAAGAAGTCCACGTGGCCGATCGCCTCCGATATCCCGAAACCTGCAACGGCACACCTACGGGTCGGCTATCGATAGACGCAATGCATATTTCATACCCGTGCGTTTCGGCCTACCCACCGGTTCTGCGCCAGATGAAGCTTTAAGTCTCGGGAGTGAAAGCGAAAACATCAGTTAATACAACATACAACGTATATTTCTTACCGGCTGTTGCTCGCGACTACGTGTGCGTAGAACGGGCTGAAGGCGTAACATTCGGACAGAAAGGCGGATATACATACAAATACGTATATAAATTATAGCCTATGTGTTATGGGATATTCTGATCTATAAGCTATATTATTGTAACGTTTCATTAAAATTCATTCAGTAGTATTTGCGTGAAAGAGTAACAAACATACATCCATACATACAAACTCTCGCGTTTACAATATTAGTAAGGAAGTGAGGATTTCGACGAATAAATGAATTGATTTGATTTGGTTGGCGGCATGGAGTCCTTTTTATGTCACGTTCAAAGTTGGCGAACTAGCAGGCGTTTGACCTGGTGTTAGGTTTAGTTATGTTTTAGGCTTTATATTGAGTGGCGTAGCGGTGGCCATGTGTGGGGGTTCGGGTGGATGAGTGGTGTGCTATGACGTCATATTACTATTTGTTTCGCACTGTCCGTGTGGGGCTGATGTTTTTTGTTTTTATAATTCTAATACTATTCTTACGTATACGGCTTATTTCACTTTGTAGTTTGCTTAATTAAAATTATTTCATTTGTATACAAGAAAATGCATTATCTTAGTATTTAACGTTTTGTGACGACAGAAAACGGAAACCGAAATTTTGATTTTGAGGTTGAACATCTACAACGCCTGACAAAATCGGCTATCTCACTCACCAGACACAAAATGAAAATGTTATACGAAAATACAGGGATGGTTTTCTAAGTGTATCCTTTTTTTTTTATTAAATTCTAGACATAAATAATGTTACATAAAAAATGATAAATATACACCTGCTTTTGCTACACGAATGGTTAATGTCGTCCAAGTAAATACCGCATCCTTACTAATGACCGTCATGAACTGAATTAAGAATCAAGTGGAATTGTTATACTTTCGCGTTTCATCTGATGAGTTAGGTAACTAGGGGCCCCTTATTGTTCACGTCTATATTACCTGAGAAATAGAGGGGCATCGCATTGCTGTGAATGATGTCGACGTATTTGGCGTCAGATCTGTCCAGTCGTACCAATGTGACCGTATTACTGAAGTAAGGGGCGGCTGGATCTAGGCCCGTTATCCTTCCCAACTTGAGATTGAACTTCTGTAACGAATTTACACAATGGTTTCTTGTTGTATACGCGAAAATAAAACACTAAGTACATTGGTATTTTTACGAATTCGGAAACTACAAATTTTATGAACATATTAAACATATTATTAACATATTAGAAAACAAAATCCTTTATTGTTTATTCACATATTTTTAGCAATTCAACGGAGCTTTGGCTTTAAAAACCATTATTTAATATGAATTATCCATTAAAGGTTCTCCAGAGTGTATACGTGTCGTTATAGTCTGTGGCAAATTAATAGTAGTAGTGGTCGCAATTCGACCATAATTAATTATACATGCTAGTGTATGTAATGTTTTTCTATTAATTTAATGTATTTTTATGCATAATTTTAATAAATATTAGCATTCTGCAATTCTTCTTTAGATAAACTCTAAGTGGGGGTAATTTCATACTCCTCCATCCGCGCCACGCTACGCGTACGCCACAAAGTTTTTTCTTGACGTATTAATTAATAGTATAACCAACCTTCTGCAAACCGTGGCCGCAGTATCCCGCCAAATGTGCACCCAAAGAATGACCAATGAAATGGAAATTATCCAAATTGGGTAAACCCAACATGACCTGTAAAAGGCGCAGGAATGAGAAACGAAATGTTGTATATATTGAGTAAATGTGTCGTAGCTATAAACAATGTGCAATGTCATGGGAAAGCACTTATTAACTTGTAAAATGTAAAGCACTTGTCCAGAAAAGTCTTTGTCTACGCTGCAGCACGAATGGGCAGATCCGTCAGGGTAAGGACCACGACCTCTCAGAAGACCGGCGTGAAGTAGAAGCATTATACTTCTATGTCTCGTCCGGTGAGTGTGGTAGCCGGGGCCAACTTAATTAATAAGTGGGAACGCATCTGCAACCCTACGTGGCAAATGTCCACGGACGGCGGCTATCATTCAACATCAGGTGAACCGCCAGCTCGCCAGCACCTTCTCACATAAAAAAATGTCGAACCAATCGACCCAAGGTAGTCCAGATAAGTTAGAATTCAACACTCACGTATAAATTGTGGACAAGGTGCGCAGTCATGGCACCGACTAGCCTTATGTTCGCCACGGCCTGACCGTACGGAGGCTGGGCTCCCTTCCTCCAATCCACTACCAAAACTGTTGCCGCCTCGTTGCCTTCTAAATTTAAAAGTGCATCGGCCATGTTTTGTATCTGTGAAATGGATTATAAAAACATAATAATACATTCCTACACAATGTTATTATTCTTATTTTAATCTATAAATTATATTTAATCATATTATCATTGCATTTTATTATTTCCTCATATAATAAGAACCAAACTATACACTATCGATACGGCTTATCGATGGCAACAATGCACAGCACTATGCCCGTCCAAAGACCCATGAGTGAGTCTGAGAGAGAGAGCGAAATGCTATCTGCACCGCTCCTACGTTATACGACCCAGTGTGCGTCGAGTGAAAAACACTACCATCAGTTACAAGATCCTTTTATATAAACTTTATTATACCTATTTTTAAAAAATTGGTTTTCATAAAATAAACTTACCCATAACTTGTGACCGCCTTCCAGAAAACCATGAGAGATGAGATAAAACGGCCCTCTGGGGTCGATGTTTGCGTTTCGAATCTTCTCGGTATCATGCGCTTGTAACATCAGTGGTATCCTTCTATTCCGTCTCGTAAACGCTGGATACCTACAAAAAGAAAATAGTTACATAAAGCTTATTTATTTTTTTATTTATCTGGCACGGTTACAAAGTACAAATTGTAACATTAACTAAATTATAACAGAAACAATGCATATTCCTAAACTTGCATTACAATTACAACCGAGCACAACATACAATTTGAATAATTATGTTATTTTAATAATTTATGTAATGACTAATACTTACTAATTTACTTATAAGAAAGAAGCCGACCAATATTAATAAAATGATGCCAAGTTTTGATATAATATATCTATGTCTCTACATAAAATATTGTACTGTCTACACATTCGAATTAAGGGACTATTAAGAGATACATTATTCCGAGTTACCGGTGTATGGAAAAGACGCTGTCTAGTGTCTACGATTAGATTTTTTTTATTTTATTAAAGAGGGTAAAAACCCTGGGTAAAAACACAGGTAGGTAAATATCACCCTCATTGTACAAACTTAGTTACATAAACACTTAAACCAAAAAAAAAAACAAAAAATTAACGCCTGCTTAAACATTTTTGCGCAGGGGCCATGCTAATCTTCTCTGTATCGTTCCAATTTTAGTATATACTGCCGAAGCAAGTACATCTACGATTAGATGTAGGTGAAGTTAATTATATTACGTTAGGATAGCTAATTTAAAAAGATGCTCTAAATTTTAACACCATTTCCTACTCGACAATTGGTCAATTAGAACCACCGATTTTGATTAAACGAATAAAAAGTAAATATTTCGAGACAATTTTTACAACAACGTTTTATCTAGTACCAAAAATACTAGTACTCTACTAAACACACTTAAAAGTTTTTTCTTTTGTAAATACATGTTGCAGATAAAATTATAAATACCCAGACACTAGAAAAACCTATGTTCATCACACAATATTTATTAATATCACATTTTATTTATGATTTTTAAATCCAGACGTTTCGAACCCTTGGTCTTGGGCATCATGCCATGGTCTGCCCCGTGACCACGAACGCTGGAAAGGGTTAACAAGAAAGAGTCTTCTAAAAAATTCTTACTGTCATAAAAACGTTGAGTAAATATTGCTAATATTAATTGATATTTTCCGAATTTTCAACTGACATTCCATAATTGCTCTCGCCGATGATGAACTTACGAAATGCCGCTATCCAACACCCACGCATCGGACGGATAGGCGGGACGCCTACCGACCAAAGGTCAATAGACCCTTGAATCGAAACTAAGGTACATAGCGACGAAAATAACACGCTTATCAAATTAACGATAAACACGTCACAATGCAACCAACGATCGTAAATATTTGTTATGTCTTCGGCAACAATGGATCGATGTCACGGACGAGCCCCCGGCTTTATCGTACGTTAATTATTGGACATGTTTGAGATTTGACGATAACAGTATTAATTGGCCGTAGGAGATTCATCTGGAATGTTCGAGTAAACTGAATCTCTTCTGAAACATCTTTATGAACTTTGCACTCGAGAATTACTTGTGGATTCAAAAACTAAATGGATATTCACATTATAATTCCAACATAGGTTATTTACTTTAGAAACTAGCTTTCTCATATAAACATCTTTTATAACAAGAATACGAGGGAGTTTTATTCATTAAGTTTTTTTTGCGAGAGCATGTCTACAAAATGTATAGTCTAGTGTAAAATGTATATGTGCAATAATGTATAGTGTAAAATGTAAAGTCTAAAAGGAAGCAAAGAAAATGCTGCAATGACATATTATCAAATATTATCGGCCCGCCATTTGCAAACATACTTGTACTAAAAACAGCGTAAACTTTCATGAATAATATTAATGCATATAATCAATTATAAGAAAGAGACATTTCAATGACTGACATGTTACAAATATTTGATTAAAAGTTTAATGCACGAATGTTACGTGACTAATATAATGTCGGGAAAACACCTTGTTTCATTTTGCCAAAACTACGTTTCTATTCTTGTATTAATAATTTAGTGCTACTGAAATTAATTTAAAACTTTATCCTCGACATGTTAATTATAAAAAACTCAACCAACTTCAGAGCAGGAAAAATGTTAATAAGTCATATTGAGTTAAAAGTGAACCGAATAAATCACCCGCGAATTCCCCGACCGCTATCAGAAAAACCCTTCGTCTCACAAGACAATTATGATCAAGAAAGTGCCTATAAACATTTCCTTATAACTAATGTCATAAATTATTAACATTATAAACACGAAGCGGATCTTGCCAATTAAACTTTGAGCCTCTTAATATGGTACGAAAACACTGCGATAGTGAAATAATCACATTAAACATATACGTAAATGCTGATGTATCAATTGTCTATCGGGGCCACACCCCCTTTTAATAACCCGGAGTCTGATAACAGCACCTAATGCATTCAACAATTAATATCAATGATTACTATTCACATAGTAATTATAACAAAAAGTTGAAATTTTTCAATACAAACTTTGCGAAATAGTATTTTATTTTAACACTAATAGTAGGATAATATAATAAATATGGTAACAGTTAAATTAATTTACCATGGTTCAAGCCTTACGCTCTCGCTTTAATATTTACTTATACTGAAATAAGACAGTATTTTTCCTTTAATGCAACACCTTAGGAATTACAAAGATCAGACTTAATGCCAATTGACAGTCACCACGGAAAGAAAATAATTTCTAGGTCCATTAATTCAAATTAATATTACATTTTAGGAATTGAAAATGAAAGTCAAACTAAGGAAAATAAATAAATATACGTGTACATTCAATATGTATACATATTACATATAAGTTTATAAATGTTGCTCATTATAATTATAGGCCCAAATCTGCAATATATAAAATATTGATACTAAAAAATTATATAACATATCATATCATAGTAAAAGTTACTACATAAATATACATGTGCTAATAATATACAACAAACCATTTGAAATTTGTAAGAAATAATAGTTCGTTTAAAGATTACGTTCATTATTCACCATCTAACATCTAATCATGATGCCAGATGTATACCTAAATGAGGCATTGTATACTTCTTTATTATTTTAGATCTTTTCGAGCAAGGAACGTTGAATATATATTGCTTCGTGTATATAATATATAATATAAGGCTACTATCACTGTACGGTGAAAGAGCTACACGGATTCGCCTGCGTTGAAGCCTTTAAATAAATACTTATATTTTTTGTAATAAAAGGACTCCTATGTCCTTTTTAATACCTCTAAGAATATGTGTATAAAGTTTCATGATAATCGGTTGAGTAGCTTTGGTGTGAAAGCGTAACAAACAAACTTACATTCACATTTATAATATTACTAGCTGTTAACCCGCGCGGCCTAAGGGAATTATAGCTGAATTTTTTCTACTTAGTTGACACTTGTCATAATTTATATTTTGGACAATTCACACAATATCTATATAAATTATAGCCTATGTGTTATTCCAAGCTATTATATTGTTATTATAAGCTATTATATTGTAGTTTTATTAAAATTTTTTCAGTACTTTTTGCGTGAAAGAGTAACAAACTTTGGATGGAAGTTTGTTACTCTACTACTCTCTACTTTCGCGTTTATAATATTAGTAAAGATAAAAGTAGGGTTATTCATAATAGCTCAAAAAGCTACATAATCTCAATATAACTGAGACTTGTTTTTATTGAAATAAAAGTAAGTTTTTATTTAGAAATCCCAATATTTCTATATCGAGTCAGGTAACATGATAACTGTTATGTTAGAATTAGGAAACTTGCTTATAGGTAACATCCAGCAGATAGTAACATAAATCAAAATTTTATACATGTATCTCATAATATGATGATTTGTACTCTTGGTGAGCTGAGATGAGAAGCTATTTAGTGAATAACATTTATTTCCAAATTATAATAGCAAAATCTCAACACAACTGCTCGTGTATTCGTTACGAAATCAAACCGTTGATGAGTTAGGTGACATTTATAAAATAGTAAGTAGTTCGCTTTCATTGGTCGGCCGCTGACCTATATTCCAAGCGGCCGCTGAAAGTTCGTTTCCGATAAGTTGAAAAGTTCGATGGTCCTTGAAACCGATATCGCCCCATCGAGTGCGGTAAATTTACGGAGTTCTTAGATTCGCCTCGTCATCTATATACACAGGGTGGCTTTTCTAGGTGTATCCATTTTTTTATTAAATTCTATACATAAATAATATTATATAAAAAATGATAAATATTTAAAATCACTCATAATTAATTAATTACATTCATTTGAACATACTAAATACGAATGCATCAAAGTTATAAAATGTTTGTTTTTGTATTATCAATTAAACGTTGTGTGTAACTTATAAAATTTACTTTAAAAGAATTACTCTTAAAAGTAAAGTAACAGCCAATACATGTCCCACTGCTGGGCAAAGGGCCTCCTCTATACAGAGGGTATCAGGGCATAGTCCACCACGCGTCCCTTCTGCGGATTAGCGGACTTAACATATATTCGAAATATATTTTTTTGTTATTATTTCTAAAATATGCAGGTTTCCTCACGATGTTTTCCTTCACCGCGGAGCACGTGATAAGTCAGCACTTAAAGTTAAAATCCTTATTGGTGTCGGCACCAGGGATCGAACTCAGGTTGCTCGAGTATATTGAATTAAAGGCGAGCGCCCGGACACTGAGCTATCACGGCTCACTCAAAAATTACTCTTATTTTCCTTATACGGGAGATTTTTTGAGAAATGCCCAAGTTTACACAGGAGGTTCAGACTCGGTTGTATAATCGTTTATTGAAATAAAAAACAAAGTTTCTTTTTCCAAAAAAAATGCCATTATATTCCCTAAAAAACAGAACGTGTTGATAATGCCATAGTCATTCATAAATACCTAAATTTTACTGTGCGCGAACTTGTGTGCGTGTTATTTATGATTGATCGCGCGTAAAATAAATGAGTTGCGTATAAATGACGCACTTTTTGAGATATATATATATACAGCGTGTCGTTACCATCGCGACAATAAATGAACACACATATAGGGGATAACTTTTTAAAGTTGTATTAAACATTTAAATTCTTTAAACATCAATATTTACAGAGTTATTAAATTTTCCAAAACAAAGAATTTTAGAACACCCTTACCTATAAAAGCGTAACGTAAAGTTCATTTGTAAAGGTCACAAAGCATATGAATGGGTTGAATGAAGTTAAAAGAGACAAAACATACTGTTAGAAGGAGAGGCTTGTAATACGACGCTGTGGCGCGAGTTGTATAGGATGTTACAAATTTTGTTTCTTTTTTACTTAATTAGTTTGAAAAATATTTTTTTTAATTATGGATTTTGTTTAACGTTAATATTTTTTTATGATTATTGGCAAGTAGCGTTAGTCGTGTGTTCATTTATTGTCGCGATGGTAACGACACGCTGTATATATATATTTAAAAGTTAAATCAAATTCGCAAATATTACATTTATTTTCTAAATCTTTAATATATGTCGTAAAAAACTTATATGAAAAGTTAAATGGCGATCTTTATTGTTTTTTCATTTTAGTTTGAATATAGGTTAACGTTTATTCATACAAAATATAATATAACCAGCCATATTTATGCACAAAAAATGTAATATTACACAATTACAAAAATACATATATCTACATATGTAATAAAATTTTCAAATAGGCAACAAATATTACATAATGTAAATTAAAAAAAAAATTTTGACGTAATAATAACCTCTATTCATATTTAAAATAAAAAAAATTGCCAGGACAAATTTTAAAAATGAGGTCACGTATTCAATTAAAGAATAGAAAACGCAATTTTAAAAAATCCATTCACCAATCAGCATTAACGAGAGAACGTTAACCAGAGAAGCCCATGCACTGTATTATAGAGCGATATCGATACGAAAAAGGTTTAATCACAAATAACTTAGACGTTATAAGCATAACTCACTTAGATAATTTACAGCTTTCAATTTTTGGCGTATTTTATAACTTTTTATAGTTATTATTTACAGATTAAATTTGATTATTTTGATGGACAATCATACAGAAATTATGACATGACAATAATATCCATTTTTAATTTTCTTCTATCTTTGCCTTACATTTCCCTACCATTATTGAGAAGGCGACTCTGTTACTATTAGCAGGAAATCGAAACTGTATTACCCACACACTTAAACGCTTGTCAGATAAATAGTAAGTAAAATTGGATGAGGTAAATAGATCATTTTAGCGTAATACACGTCATAAAACAGGTAATAAAAACATACCGCACTCCCAAGACTTCTGGTGACACGGGAAAGTAGTTATCCGGTCGGTTCTCTGTCCACGGGTAGGCTTTCGAGAAGCATCCATATGTGCCATAGCACCGCTCGATCTCCGCATCCTCTAAAAATTACCAATTTTATGAGTATAAAAACGTTTCACGTTTTTAAGTAAATATATGTATTGTACCTGTGTGTAAACTGACATCGGGGCATTTAAAACGGCAGCCAGTTTCATAACAATGTGTAAAGCAAAGCAATCGAAACTTTGGACTTTTATCAAACGTGATAAAATCCAAAATAGTAGTATCATTTAATAAAATAAAAAATATAGGGAAAAATTAAGGTTATACTGAGATTGAAAACATTTGCCTATATGATTTATATATAAGCCGCGATGATTAAGAAAAAAATTAAACTTATTCTGGTTTTATTTTATAATTAATTTGCACAAAAAAAATAGTTGTAAAAATTCTGCAGTTTAGAGATATCATATTTAACAAACGCTAATTTAACGTTTCAAATTCGATTTCAATGAATTTAATAAAATATAAAAACACAACTAACCGTAAAAATTCGTGGGCAAGTGTGTGACATCCGTTGAATTTTGCTTCTCCATCAGCACCATTATGGTCTGCAGCATTAAAGTTGCACTAGTTCTGTTATACATGGCCACTAATAAACTAAAGTTTACCCTTCTTTTTCTTTAAGCAACTACGAACTGATACGATGAATGACCGGCCAGTTGTTGATGAGATTACTTACTTTTTTTGGAATACCAGCAAATGTGAGTAACCGCTATCAACGGGTTCTATTTGACGAACTAATGAAATGAAATACGATCAATGTTTGATCCGAACAATACAGCTGGTTGCCGAGAGATCGGATGACCGTGTAATGATAAGTGTTAAGCGCTCGTTATTTATATATAAGCCCATAAATGCACGGGAGAACCACCGATCGTATCTAAGTAATGAATCGCTTAATTATACCCGCTATATAATATAACAAAAAAACAGACTGAAAAAAACCAACGGCCTTTTGAGATATTAAAAAGTTTTACTAGAAATATACTATTTGTCAAAATTAAAACGTGATACTTTTACTTGGCACTGGAATCACAGACATACACATATGATTTATCTATATAGATTACTTAATAGATCCGCGTTGCCTTTAGATCGCAGACGTTCCGGGATGCGGCGATAGCAGAGGTTAGGACGTTATCGCACTTGGGCAGTTGTTAAAAGCGATTGACGCACGAGCAGTCTAGCCTGTGCGGTACATAAGTTTGTACTCACTGTGTTTATTTCAACTCCGCGTTCATGCCGCTAATTGCGAAAACAGTAAACAAGACCGATAGTTGGGGTCGCATGTACTACGCTTTCTTGCATTTTTGTTCAACGTGTAAACAACTTTAGAAGTCACATTGATGCTTTTATACTGATACTTTGTTTTTGTAAAAAATAATAAGTAAACGATACAACTATGAACAACAAGGGTAATGAATAGTTAAGTATTCTATGTCCCTTTGAGATAAAAAGGGGCAAGTAAATAAAATTAATAATTTAAAAGAATAACAATTTAAATTGGTTCACGCATTTATATTTATAGAATAATATTCGGCACAATCTTTAATCTGACAGAATACGAATAAATTTTATCGAAATATTGAACCTTTTTAGGGTTTCGTACCCAAAAGGGTAAAACAGGACCCTATTACTATTATAACAACAAATACTAAAAAAAAACAGAATAAAAAAATATTTAAGTGAAGCTCCCATAAGCAGATATGATTTTTTTACCTTTTTTATAGATAATTGTACGGAACTCTTCGTGCGCGAGGCCGACTCTCACTTGGCCGGTTCTTTATTTTATTTTTGCCTTGACTAGTTTCAAATTCATTTTAGAATTATTCAACTGAAAAATGGGAACAGTTGTTATGCTTTGTATACTTAATGTAACATAGCATATAATCATATCCATGTATTAATAATTACGAGAAATCAAAACAATGGAAAGAGGCATTGTTTTATAGATTTTAAGAAAAAATTCGGAAAGAATTTGCAACATCGGTTGCGGTAATACTGCATTTGAGCTCGATCTGAACACAGAAAATCGATAACACGGCGTCAAAGAAGTCAATTTCTAAATTCAATATAGGTGGGATTTATGTTAAACTTGAAATAAAGCACTAAATAACTCATTCATAAAAAATATGACGCTGTAAAAATCAATCAAGTAGTAACGTCAGTCTTTATTAAATTTTA